TTTCTTTCCTTTTTTAGGTAATTTTCAGGCAAAATGTACATTTTTGGGATATGGAGCTCTGGTATTAAATCCAAAAGACCCGAAATTTGGTATGGCGATATTTCCCTTACAAGAACGGTGCACACACCAATTCCTCCGCGACAGGGGTCCACTGTAGTGCCCGGAAAAAAAGTGACGAAGGGGTTCCGATGGTTCATGTTTGAGTTTACATTTCTCATAATCTGCTGCTAACATGGCTGGAAAGTGTAAGAAGTGGCGTGTTTTGGGTGAAAATTGATTTCGGGCCCGAGGCTTACTTCCTGGTGTCCTTCCGCCCTGAGCGCGGTGCTTCGGTTTGACCTAGTTTTGCCTTGTATGCGTTCTGGGGGTGCTGTAGCTATGCCTCGCGCGACGGGCTATTGTGATAATCTCAGTGTTAGGATTTTCTTTATACTTTTCTTAATAATACATAAGGGTTTTCTCTTTCCGACCATATGAGTCAAATCGGTGGCTAAAATCTGGGTGATGGGTTTAATTCCACGTGAAAATGGCCAATTTTCGGCATCATTTTTCAGCGAAAAATTCTTTTTCCCCCTAAAATTTACTAAAATGTGAGAGGTGAAAGAAATTGAAATTCTTTTGTTATCGTAGCTAGAGGGATATCCTTCATTTGCAAACAGAGTGTTTTGGCTTAAGAGGTTTTTCCTGAAAGAGACGGTCCCTAGAGTTGAGGGTATGCAGAATCGAATTGAGACCCAAAATAAACTGGGGTGTGCCCCCTTAAACACACTTAACTTGTACAATACTCCTGATACAGGAAAGGAAAATGATCTCGATCCAGTTTTAGCTCACTAAAGAGCTAATGCCCCACTGGTTGTGACAGAAAAAACAGACGCTACAAAATGTATGTATGTACATTATTTACGGGTTCATTGTACCAGGGAAATTCACCTATATATACATGTATATAGCTCTTTTTGACAAGCACAATCCAAAGTAGACCACAGCTTAACGTCCCGTCCTTTCAGGACTGCGACCCTTTATGGTAGCGTGCATGTCAGGTGAGCGACAACACCCGGGATTCGAACCCCTAACCTCTTAGTCCAGAGGTAATGTTGCTAACCACTGGACTACACACATTACAAACTGATCAGCCCCTTTTGAAAGGAGCAACATACATGTAACTGGGTCTTGGAAAAATAATTTTCCATAATAGCCAAGAAACTTAAGAGAGGTTTTATCAAAGTTCCATTGTTACAATCTAAATCATTTATTTATATTTTATATATTTCATCTTATATAAACACCTGAGTGGCCTCTTCAACAGTAAATTGTTGATTTCCAAGAGGGCCCAGGGACACATAAACATAAAGTAATTTGTATAAATTAAAGTACATTATACAATCAAGTCACATAACTGAGAAAAGTTAACTGAGATCAGTACTACTGAAATCAGTATAACTAATTATTCTAAATTATTCTTTACTTCAACATCAATATGGTATGTTCTCACTAAAGGTTGTTCTAACTTTTTCCAGGCAATGTACACACTGATAGCAAGGTGTGAAGAACTCAACAACAGTATGAAACCAGTACACGAGATTGCACAACAGATGTATCCTTTCATGGGTAACATGAACAAAGGTTCAGTAGTCTTCATGTGAACAAGGTTCAACAAGTTACATGTGATCATATAAACATTATAAATGTAAGGAAAGGAAAGGATAATAACTGATTTTATGTACTGTGCAAAGGATGAGACAAGTAAATTAGTGCATGAAAATGAAAGTGTCTGCTTGTTAAAGTTTTGCTTTGTTAAACTGTATTGTATAAGTATGTTGGATCACTAAAGATCACCAAGGCCAAAAGAAAAATAGAAGATAATCCCTACCTTCTGACCCTAATTTTTCATGACTGAAACAGGAAACACAACATTTTTTCCTAGGTCTAAGCCTTTTCGACTAACACACCGATTTCCTTAACCATGCTGTACAGAAAGGACATCAAGAAGCAACTTGAAGCCTTCGAAGCTCTGTGCAAGTGAAGTTCCATGTATTCAGCCTTACATGTATGTTTGCTATAGCTACAGGGATTCATGATACTACAGGGAAGGGAGGGTATGGTGAAATGAAATGTCTAATTTCTATGTATGTATGTATGTATCAATGTACATAATTGTAAGTGAAGTAAATTAAATCAACAAAAACAGTTTTATTCTAGATGCTGTGGAAATTGATTGACTGGTTCGTGGAGTTAGAAATTGAAAAAGGAGCAATGGAAAAATCTGTGAAGCTAGCTAGGAGTTAGAAATGTTGCATCTGGCTGATGATATACCTGAGGCCACACCAATTTAATTTCTTGGTTAACGGATTTTTTTAGAAAAATAATGGAGCGGGCGGGCGAAAAAAAAGGCCTAGGCATCCTATTATGGCCCAAAATGGTACGATAGGAGCCATGAAGTCAACACACCAGGCTGGTTCAAAAGCTAAACAATGAATTTTGAACTTTTAATGACACCGCTGCATTGAAAGATGGAATAACTGTAACATTACTAGGAAGAAAAGGACTGTTTTCAACTGTTCAGGGCAAAATATGAGCATTTTGCAGTTGATTGTGAATTTTTTTCTTGCAAATCAGAAAAAATTAAGTGGGCGAATCCGTTAACCAAGAAAT